AAAAATGGTAGCGCTTCTACTGAAGTTAATGAATCATATTGTTTATGATTATTCTTTCGTGCGGTATCAGATGAATGTATACTATACTTTTATTGCAAAAAATATCAGAAGTGTTTTCTTTGAAATAATTATTTTTTAATATTTGGAAATCATTATATTTTGTTACTAAAATCTTTTCATGAACCATTTTCAGATTTACGGGAGAGAACGCTGTTTTTAAGTCGAACGCTAAACACGAACCAGCACATTTGTTGAAAAATGTCCTGGTTTGTTCACTATATATTAATTAATATTGTAGAAGGAAATACACCAAACTTGTTATTTGTATTTGAAAAGTTCTCATTTTGTACCAGTTAGAAAATGTTAGTCAGCAGTTAGACTTACTAAAATGGATATAAGTAACTAAACTATTTACAGTGGAATCTGATGTTATTCGTTTAAAATTTTCCTGTATTTTGCTTTTTAGTGAATTTTTCGGTGTTTCTATTCTAATTGCCTTCATTGGCATTATTGCATTTATTGTGATGCCATCATCTGACTTCCAGTGCGAGTATTATCAGCAAGTTTTAATTTATTAGTATTTAATTTCAAAAAAAAATTTTCCTAGAAAAGTTTTGCTTTGTTTTGAAAATGCCTGAAAAGTTTAAGAGCATAGCATACGTTATAAAATATAGATTTGTTATTATTTCAAAACAATTTTTTTCAATTTTTGTTATATTAACTACTGCAAGGCAGATTTAGATTACCGAAGCCACCACGATTAGAAGGTGTATTAGAAGTAAACGAGATACTCACGAAAGCTGAATACATTTTAAAGGATAAAATTTTTGGTCCTGAATCGATCATTGTCGATGAAGGTGAGATTGCTGAGAACTGTTGAGATTATTTTTCATAGATATAGTCTTTTTACAAGAAATATAATTTTTATGAAAAAAAAACTCTATCAAATGCGATTACTCGTAGTCATTATTCTAGCCTTCGAAAAAAAAAATACAACTTATTATTTCATTCTTTCACTGTCTTACTTTACTTTTAGATGGTATCAAGACAGGAACACAAAATGGTATGGTT